TTTTTTTTTTTTTTGTTTTTTATTTCTTATTTCCTGGTAAACTTCTGAAGGAATATTGATGTTGTTTCTTTTGTATATTTGATTTCCATGAGGTTAATAATCTATCAAAATGCACTTTTCGGATAAGCAATACACTTATACTCCGTTTATTATGTATATATATATACATAAGATAAACAGTTCATAATCATAATTTGAATTATGCAGTAACCAGATAAACAATATATAAACATTAACTTGTATGTAGAACTTATATAGTAATGTATCTTACACCTACCGTTTATTCTACATATATATACATCTAATATAGACATTCTATAAACATATATTTTTTTTAGCACACATACCGTTTATTGTGATATATATGAACATAAGATAAACAATATATAAACATATATTTTTTTTTTTTTGCACACATACCGTTTATTGTTGTTTATTTAAACATAAGATAAACGGTATATAAATATATTTTTTAATAGCTCACACACCGTTTATTGTGAATATATATACACATAATATAAACAGTATATAAACATATATTTTTTTTAGCACACATACCGTTTATTGTGATATATATGAACATAAGATAAACAGTATATAAACATATATTTTTTTTCTTTTTGCACACATACCGTTTATTGTTGTTTATTTAAACATAAGATAAACGGTATATAAATATATATTTTTTAATAGCTCACACACCGTTTATTGTGAATATATATATACACATAATATAAACAGTATATAAACATATATTTCTTTTTTAGCACACAACCGATTATTGTACGTGTATATAAATATTTTTTTTTTCTGCGATAACCCGATAAACAGTATATAAACATTGACTTACTTGTAGAACTCATATAGGTTTGAATTGAAACATTCATTTTATTTTTTTTTTATTATTTTTTTTTTTATTTTTATTTATTATTATTTTTTTTTATAAAATAGTCCTGTACAATTGTACCAAAAGTAAAGAATAACCTAACAACATAAAAAATTACTCATACCACAAATGAAACAATAAGCAAACACATCAATCTAATTTTGTTTCACTCTCTTTGGATTTGAACATGTCTTCTCCACTTTGAACTGGTATTGGTTTGTTATTGCATGGTGGCTGAGCAACTTCATCACTTCATTTTTTTCTCTGAAAGATTGGCCGACCACAACATCACATAGCATACTTCCATCGACACCACATTCAAGTGTTCTGAAGTTATTTATCTCTTGTTTATCTCCCGTATACTTAACTGCTTCCAGTATTGTATCTGCAGCATGTTCGACAAATGCTCTATAAAATTCATCTCTTTCAGAGTTTCCCCGGGCCGGCTCAAGACATTTTAACCCTTCTATATCACACACAGAAGGATATGTAGATATTGGCATTATGCCTCCAACTGGTGAGGGGACGTTTATTAATTTTTTTAAAACCACACACAAGGGCAACTTTGTGTAATCACACTCCTTCGATTTCAATGAAACAAAAATGTAGGCTGCTATCATCATCCACACTCATAGCTGGATATCCATCTTTCACTTGATACTTCATCTCCAGATCATTTGAATACGCGTTTACCTTCAGTTTATCAAAAACAATATCACGTATTCATTGTTGATCCATACTCCATTATGATGTAGAAACACATTTACATCATTCATGTTCCTCAAAAATAAACAGATTCAGTTGATGTTAAAAAAAATAAAACACAATGAAACAAATAATAAATAATGGAGTATTTATTATAAAAACGAAATCTGAAATTTAAAAAAAAAAGGATGATGGAATATGTA